TTCTCCTGTTTTCTCACCCCAGAAATTCGTAATGAACCTGTCAGGCCGCTGCCACTCAGTGTCACACTGGATCGGCCACACTCCTATCCGACTGCTAATGGGACCACACCCCCAGGAGCATGGTCCCATTAGCAGTCGGATAGGAGTTTGGCTGATCCAGCGTGACACTGAGTGGCAGCGGGCTGACAGGTTCATTACGAATTTCTGGGCTGAGAAAACAGGAGACAGGTAAAAAAAAAAAAGAGGAAACAGAGACCTGCCACCGGAAATCACGGCAGAGTGCTTCCCAGCCATCAGATCACAGATGATCTGATGGTGGTGGTTGCAACAACAGTGAACAAAGTAACTGCCACATTTTCTGGAATAAACTCGACTACTGTCAGCAGTGATCCTGACACCCTCCATGTACTCCGTGATTGAAGGAGGGCTCGCCCAATGAGATAATTGCACAACAGCAAGTAAAATACTGAAAATCTTCTATCCAGTGGGCCTATGGCCGATCCCACCCTCTTTTGGTTTTGGCCACACCCCCAACCGATTGAAAAGATTCTGGCCGGAAGCTTTCTTTGCACGGGCATGCCCAGTGTTAACGAGAGGAGGAGGGGAACAAAGATCTTCTAACTTTTTCGGGCAATACGTGTAAAATACTGACCGTGGGATCACGAGTACTGCACGGCAGGATTTGGGTCACTCAACTGTCCCACAAACTCGTTTCTATCCTATCCCGTTGCTAGTGGGACCATGCTCCTGCTATGCCCTCTCAGTGATTTCATATATAATAAAACTGCACCTTTCTTTTAAAAAAAATAAAAATAAAAAACAGAGCGTTCGGAATGATGTTGGACACCTCGACAATCCGGTTCCCCTCAACAAAATTTCAGCAAGAGTCATTGGCTGTCCTATTTACAGGGAGCCCGAACAAGAAGCACTGGGTAACATAGACCCAGTGCCCTACATAATAAATGGGTGATCAGATTAACATTCAAGACAGAAAATAGAAAAACGACAAAAAACATTCCAGACAGACCTCCCATGGCCACAGCTGGTACAGCTTACGCAGACTAGGGGCCATCCCACCCTTGAAGTTCCCTTCAAACATGTCCTTTGGGACATCCGTCAATATTTGAATGACACAGAGAAGATTAGCATGGCCCCTGTGAAAGGATGGCATGCACAAACCGAGATATCATCCAGTTTTCTAAGATGTTGAGGTGGGCATTCTAAGGGATAACCAAGGGTTGCTGCTGGGACGATGCTGGTCGGAGCTGGGGCGAGTTGTGTTGCCCTGTAACCCAACAGGGTGGGGGTGTGAGGCCTGGAAGAGCTCGGCAGGGAGTAAGACAGCGTTGGAGAGTTTTAGAAGGGTTTGCTAGGGATTCCGAGGGTTTTGAACATTTTGCGAGGCTTATGCCCCTATGAGCCCCTTTCAGGCCCTGCCAAGTATCCCATCGGCCGCCCTAAGTGAAGGCAGGCACGATGAGGGCCTGAGGGCCCCTATTTCGGTCACCACGCAACTCAAGGAAATTCAGGCAGTTGCGCAGTGTCAGTTGGTTGGAAGAACCCACGCCTTGGG